TTTTTTTTTTTTTTTTTTTTTAATAACACTCGAAAACCTTGTTGCCAAAGTGAATGTCAAATAATTTGTACCTGCTTGGGAAAAAGTACGAGTTTTATTATAGGTAGTGAAATTGAAAATTAGATGAATAAATGTTAATTTGTAAAACGTTGTTTGCTTTAGGTTTTTATCTACTTCGGTTTGGAACGCGTGAAGATTATGATATGGAGCTATTTTCACCCTTAAATTGGCTTTTATTACATCAATATCTACATTTATGCATCAACCATAATCAAAGCATTATTTTAAGCACAAATTATGCGCCCTTTATGCATATAAGCAGCAGTGCCATGGTAAAGGGATTGAGTGGTGCCACTAGCTGCAGCCACCGGCTGCAAACCCAATTCTTGAATTGGAAATATCATAAAGAATATCAAAGGTTTGCTGTTGATGATTCCCAATAATGGCCATATTGGAATTACTTGCGAAGGCCAAACAAGTAGTGCCCTCTGAAACTTTTGTGAGCATGTTTCGGGGAGCAAGATTAAGCTCACCACCTGTTTGAAAAATTAACTGAACCAGAGGCACAATTGTTGATATGGATTCCAAACTTCCTTCAAAACAGGCATCAAAAGGGGAATAGGCTCTTGTCATCTGATATTTGGAAGATATGATCTGCACCATTTCCTCCCTCAATGCTGTGTATATGGGCACTGCCAGACGTGATATGACTCTGCCTGAGTCGATGAATGTAGGCACGTTGTACTCCGATGATGGCACATTTAGTGGCTTGCCAGATACTGTGATTGCTGATAGCTTCAGAAAGTACAAGCCAGGAAACCGAGAATCTGTCAACATTGGAGTGAACTTATAAGTCGTCGAAGTAGTAGTCCCAATGGATGGGAACCCTCCACTGCCAGTTTGGCCATCGGTTGTTGGGAGACAATAAGAGAACGCCTTTCCATATTTGGTGGACAATTGGGAAAACATTGACAGTTCGTTTCGTGCTAAGCCAAACAGACCTGCCGATTGACCGAATAGGCCTTCGTTATCCTGTCCACATCCGAACACAAAATCAGCTAGTGCTGGCTCCGAGGACGCTGTCAGGCTTAGTGAATCTTGACCAAGGTACCCTTTAGAGTAAGATTTATCACCATAGCTGGTTACGTACATGCATGTATTGGAAGAAGAACAGTGGGGACTGTTGAGAGTTGCTTCTCTGAGGGAAGAACATTGGCTTGTGTCACATGATAGGGATTTGTACGTTGTAGAACTCGAGGGATCAAAATGGGATCCGACCTGTGGGTGGCAATACACCTCGCAGGGCTCGCATTGGATCCAGGAGAAGGAGCTACCCGTGTCGATAACCACGGGATAGAAACTTGGTGGAGTCCCCAAGCCCACTTTCGTGTAGTAATTTAAAACGCCAATGGGCACCCCGGGGTTTAGAGGAACTGTAACAGCTTCTGGATCAACTAAATGTCCTGATTCTCGAGCTGCTGTCTGGTTATTCTTTATAAGCTTGGAATTGAGAGATTTAACACGAGCTTCGTCCAATGCAAGTGCCTCGGAAAAGGACAGGGGAGGCTCAGAATTCTCAAGTGAGTGCCTTCCTTGCATATGAAACAAAGGCAGGTGTAAGCTGGATATTTGAGATGTTGGCCATCAACTTCTGCACAAAAAATTTGGGAAAAAAAATATTCAGAGAAAGCATCGATATAAAAACGTGTTGTAAACTGGTCGTAAGCTGATAATAATAGAAAGAACATGCCTTGAGCTACTCTAATTGACGATGTTCTTGCAAGCAAGAGAGTGAAAAACAGAAGAAAAAGCATTCCCATTGCTTCGAACTCCTTGAAAGTTCTCTTATTTTCAGCCTTTGAACATACTAGTTGAGGGAATCACTTCCCAAACCTTTTATAAGGATAGTAGAGTGTACTCAACTGAGATTTTAAGTGCGTTTAATTGTCCTCAATTAAGAGTAGGTGTTCCTAATTGTGATTTTAATGAATTACAATGAAATTCTTTAAAATTTTGGTTTCTTCAATAACTCGTGAATTTATAAGGGTTTCAATACTAAAGAAATTTCAAAAAAAGCCCCCGCTTAATGAGTTTCTTATGGATTCTATGAAAATCTATTCAAAATCAAGAAATTCAATAAAATTTATAATATTTTAAAATCCATCAAAATCTTAGTTGGTGTCGATTCTATGAAAATCTATTCAAAATCAAGAAATTCAATAAAATTTATAATATTTTAAAATCCATCAAAATCTTAGTTGGTGTCGATTCTATGAAAATCTATTCAAAATCAAGAAATTCAATAAAATTTATAATATTTTAAAATCCATCAAAATCTTAGTTGGTGTCGATTCTATGAAAATCTATTCAAAATCAAGAAATTCAATAAATTTTATAATATTTTAAAATTCATTAAAATTTTAGTTGATGACACCCTAAAATATGTTGTCGATAAGATAAGAGTGCAGCATGATTAACCTCTATGTTGTCCATAAAGTTTCAAATTGATTCGTGAGGTTCTCCTTACAGACCTCAATGACAACTAGTGGATTAAAGTGATTTGTCCTCCATTAATCCAAATTAGGGACCCTCATCGTTTATTTCACCAAGAAAAATATTCGTTGGTTAAGATATAGATAGATTCTCTTCTGCTATACGGATAACAACCTAAGAGGTCATTTCAAATTGACTTGTGAGGTTCTGTTTACATGCCTTAAACTAGACGAAAACCTCAGTGAGTTGTCCTCCTCAATGTCCAAATTAAAGGGCCCATTACATTCTTTCACACTTAGGATTCATATCCTCCAACATGAAGGATAGGATTTCAAAATGTACATGTTAGTCATTTCCAACTCCCGTAGAGGAGAAAGGTTACAGTTTTAAAATGTACATGTTAGTCATTTCCAATGTAAAAATTTGTTTAAACTTGCTCCGTCAATCCTAGTACAAATATTGTTAATGGATTGCTAATATTTGAGGTCTATAATTCAGCCATACCTATAAATTTCCCTAGTTTTCGTCCCCCATTTGTCACAAATTCTAATAAAATATCTGCAAATTTCTTTCTTAATTACTTTGCTAGCAGAATTTGTGCAGAATCAAGAGAAACCCGAAAGCCATGGTAGGATAACTGGAAAAAGAAAATCATTTACTTCTTCCATTACTAAAAGAAAAAGTTTCAAGTAGAAAAATAAAAAGAAGAAACTCAATTAGGAACTCTTGATGCTAAGAGTTCAATGAGTGGATTAAATTCCTCTATGTTTCACTCTTGCTGCGCTTGACTATTATTACTCCCGTGTAATTGGATCAAAGCACCCCTTAGGCTGCACTCTTTCACCTGAAAATGTTGAACAATAATTTAAGGTCATATTTTTGAAAGACTGTGATCATAATATTCTGCTGCAGTTCCCTTCTTTGTTTTCTTTTTGACATTTTCTTCATCAATTGTGTTTATTATGAAAAAGAACTTCGATGCAAAGAGGTAAAATGAAAGAGTAAACAATATTTAGAGGAAATAAATGAAAAACTGTTGCATACAATATTTAGAAAACATGAGTTTGAACATTAAGCCGTGTGTGCTATTTGTTGAATCATAGATAGACATACCTGTGCTGTATATTCCTTGGATAATAAGTCCCCACATTCCTCAATAAGGGCTCTTTCTCCACTGACAACCCGAGCTAGTTCAGAAATTGAGGTATCCACTTCTTCAGCCTGCATTTACCATGCAGCATTTATCGGATTTTTGCAAATTTACACGCCCGTCCGGCCAACAGTGAACCAAAAAAGAATTCAAAAATATTCTATACAGTATGATTTCCTCCACAATTTCGGCATTCTATGGTGTGTTTTAACATGAGTATGTCATTTTGTCTTACCTTTGGCATAAATCTCTGGACATGGGAACCTATCAGTTCCATCACCTTTACAGCTGAGTTAAAAGCCTCTTGTAAGTCTTTCACTTCAACCTGGAAAAGGTTACCCCATGGTTCACAGTTCCCTACATGATGTAGCGAATATAGATGGAAATTTATGCACTTTTAATTAGCAGAATAAATCTCACCTGGACTTCCCCACTGACTGGAACTCTTAGTGAGGAATTGAGCAAAGCATCTGATATGCCTGATAAAGAAATTGAGTAATCCTCTTCCAAAGCAGACCACGCATCCAGATATGGCATCTATAATATACCAAAAGTACATGAGCAACACAGCCAAAAGAATAAGATCGTGTGAGCAACAAAAAGTTCTCAAAATGACCGAATTTGCACTTCTATAGGTGTAAAAACCATTAAGAAGAAAGACAACAAATGCAACAAAAAAGATTTCTCATTTTTTTTTTAGTTTGTTGACCATTTCATCTCTTTTTTTAGTAAGGCGTTCATTTTTAGAAAATGATTGATAATTGTATTGTCTTATTACTGGCAGAAACAGCAGCAAAATAATGAAGTGAATCAAAAGGAATATCAACCATGTTATTTGACACCTTGGATAACCAATTGATATTACGGCATTGTGAGAAGATCTTTCCAAGTACAAAGTCGGTAGTGCTTATACATATAATTGAAAATTGATCTAGAATTTAGTAGGACATCAAGGAAAGCTCTTAAAAAGTGAACTTCGTGGCTGCCATCTAGAATAGAAACATGTATGTACAAATTATTTCATTTCAATAAATGCAACTGTGACCAGACAAATTTTCTATGCCTTTGACATAATAGTCAGAACATTAGATAGAAATAAACTCAAAGAGCGATCAAGCCTTACTTGAGCTTCAACAATCATGGATAAAGTCTTAATTCCTTGCAGTATCCCAAGTTCACTGCGCTTCTTTTTCGCATCATCACGTAAACTGGATATCTTACTTCCAAGAGAGTAAAGTTTTATCTGCACATAAATGAAATAACATGATTAATAATTCAATCATAGACTAATAACAAGGAGCAAGTCCTTTATCCATTTTGTAAAATTAAAGTGACAATTTGAAAAGAAGAATGGAAACACACCTCAGCTTCCCTTTTTTGAGCATTAACAGTAGCCTCTGCTTTTGCATTCACAAATCGCCACTGCAGATAATGGTTGCAAAGCATCTTTAGACAATGTACATCTTCTTGATGATTAAAGACCTTCCTTCCTTTCCTCGCGTCAACTCCCAGTCTCACACATGACGATGGGTGTGGAGGCAGGCAGAGATTTCCGGCCATCTTTACAGAAGACGAAAAATTCAATGAACGAGCGCAATCACTAGAGACTTTACCAGCATTGCAAGAACTCCTCTCAGCAAGCCATTTATCCACATCTGGCACAGAAGAGCGCGTCTCAGGAAGATTCCGGGACTTGGTAGTCTGCAAAAACAGAGGAGAATTGGGGCACGAAGAACTACCCTGACTACTAGCAGCACTGCAAGAATCCGAGTCATCATATCTAGATGTCGAAATTCTAGAAAGCTTTTTGTCCACGGTTTCTCTGTAATTGTTGTTACCAGAAGTTGCTTCTTGCAATAGCCTTGTGGCAGCCGTAACAGCCGAGCATCCATTACTACTATTCATCTGATTGCCACGACTTACACTATGCGGAGTATGCCTATACCTCGATGGGACAATCCGATCGGTTCCAATGGCAATCGGCGTGTCCGGCCTCGAAGAAATCTTAACACCCGAAGCCGCCTGCTGCTGTTGATTTTGTTCCCCAATTTCCTTAAAATGCCTCAACCGCTGTTGCTGCTGTTTCTTTTGAACAGTAGATACACTATTTGTTCCTAACGATTTATTTTGGGAAACAGTGTGGGGTGGAATGAGCAGGGTATCTAAGCTACGTGTGGTTTCCGGTACTTGATTCTCGTCGCGTGATGATTGCCTGCGGTGGACGGATTTGGATCGCGGATTTTCAGAAGGCGTGGGAGTTGGGGTTGCGCTGGATTGAACCAAAGGTGACATGAATCGTGAACTGACTTCCCGCACCCTCGGCCGCCGTTGGGGTAGCGGCGGAACTCCAACTTCCGCCGATGGATCGGCTGCACTTGTGGCCGTCGATTCTGTCATTTATCTTCCACTTCGCCCGAAGAGATTAATCCAATCCGACAAAGATTAATGATAATTAATTTGTATAGACGGAATTCGAAGGCCGACGGGGAGAGTGGAAAAAGGTAGCAAGGGGGGGTTTCGTGTAAAGAAACGTGAATTAAAAAAAAAAAGATTGAAATTCTAGCCGTTATGAGTTTTAAATATGTACAAGGATGGGACGGATAACGGATCCTTTTCTCGGGTAGAAAGTGGGATGACTGATGGGCAAGACTTGAAATTTACGTCCGGCTCCGGGTTAATTATCAATTTAACTGATCTACGATTATAACATTTCCAAGAGGCGGCGAGCCTTCATTTTAACATTTTGGTCTGTACTCTTATAGTTAATAAATATCTTTTAATTGAAATATTTTGTTACTACTTGCTGATGTTCTTTTTGACATTTCATTTTCCTTTNCTTTCGTCCACCTAATATTATACTCTGAAGTGTTTGAGCCTCATTTTTATGAAAAAATACATTTTAAAATAGTAAAATGATGGAAAATGTGTGATTGAAAAGAAGAGAAAAAGATGTATTTTAGAAAAAATGCTCAACATTTGCATGATTATGAGCCAATTGGATTTGATTTAGCTTACAATTTAGTTATGGGTGCAAATTACTCATTTGTAGTACAGAAATCAACGGATGGATGCCATTTTTCTATTCCTATATCGCTTACCAATCATTATATCATTCCCAAATGGAACAGAGATTATGAAATGGGATGAATATAGATAATATAATCTCACTCTAAAATGTTATTTTTATTATTATTTTTTGATGTTTGTAAATTAAAATCATATTTAATAAAAATAATATTAAGAAGATGAGTAAGTAAATGAAATGATAAATTAAAACATTTTAATTCTCGTACGTCTTCTGAAAATTCCGCCAGACTTGTGTACATTTATGACCTTTCAATTTTGAAAGTGAAACCAACCGATTCATATTCCATAGACCACAAGTATGGCGCCACGTGCCGGTTTATTAATTATGAAGGATTTCTACAAAATCCATACATTTTATTGGTTTTCTTCGTCAACCCACGTGTCAATGAGAGAGTTCAGAAATTCTTTATATAGCAACCAATCAACTAGTTGCGTTATTTTTGAAATACCCAATCGGCCGTTTCCCGGAATTTGTCATTTGAGGTAATAACTTTGTTATTATATTCAATGGTGATAGGCTGGGGTGGACGTAGATTGAATTGATCTAAAATCGGCCGTTTCCCGGAATTTGTCATTTTTTTCCTAATCCAAAACAAATTCAATATAGTTGGTTTGATCTAAAATCAAACCAATCCGATCCATTCATGTGTTTCAATCCAACCCAATCAAATTATGGTCGGGTTGGGTTGAGTTGGTTGGTTTAGACATTAAAAATCATAAAAAAATGCTTGATAATAAAAACCTATCAACAACAACGTTTCGACCATGAACAAAAACTTGTAACCATGCATGAAAAAAATGCATATATTATACAAATTATCACCTCTTTTAAAGGAAAAAATAAGCTTGAAACCTACATTTGCAAGACATGAATGAATAATTAACTTAAAATTTAAAGTTAAGAGTATCAAAAGGAATAAAAGCAGGCGATTAGTGTCAAGCTTAAATTTAAACAGACTTGGCGACCATTGACGAGCTTGAAAGAGAGAGAATGAGAGAGGGCAACATTTAGCATTATGGCTAGAGAGAAAGAGGATGTATGAGAGAAATGATGAGACTTCGTAAACTAAGGCAGTAAGGTTTCAACTTTTTAATTTTTATATTTGTTTTTAATTTTTTTTCGATTTTTTGAATAGCGCGCTGGATTGAACGGTTTTTATCTATTTTGATGGATCAACCCATATCCCAACCCAACAGAATTTTAAGCAAAAACTGACCCAAACTGTTTTCGTGGGTTGGTTCGCGTTTTGTCCACCCCTAGTTAAGGCGCGTGACTGTTAACCACAATCGGAGGTTCAAGCCCTCCTCCTAGCGAGTCTTGAACCTTT